ACAGTCACCAGCAGTAGCACCAGCGCCATGAATACCAGCTTCAGTCTGGCCACTCCCGCCATGTTGTCTCCTGCCTGCCCCTGTCAACACAGAACAGAAACACGGGAAGTTTCAGTCTCACCACTTCTGTAAGACTGTGCGAGCGTACACGACTCGTGTCAACCCTCAGGTGGCCAGGGCACGGGACCGTTCAGAAAGTACAATGTCTCATTCTGAGAGATATTAACACGCTGAAAACGCGTTTGGAACTTCTGATATATCCTCCGATCATATAGGTGACATTTGAAATTCGAAATCTTCATCAAACGTAAAGAAATGTAGTTATCCGTCACAAACCATAATGTTTATCAGGTTACTTATCATATGAGGCTTGTTAGAGGACTGAGCTGATTCTAATTTGATAACACTGATTTATATCAGACTTAGTTTACTATTCCCTTGAAGCAGATTATACGCGGAAGTGACACAGACAGTAGACACATACATCGGGGATATTTTCCATGGGAGTTACTGTGTATTGTCTGTAGCCTTGACGATCTATATGCAAATTTATATGCACGTCGGCAGTTTTGGGGATGTATAGGATCAGGGTAGCCAGAAATCTACTTTATTTACGACTCGACCTTTCAGAAAAAATCGCAATAATTCATGCGCATTTGAATAAGTATACATATTACTGGCGTTATTAGAAATATGATAAACATCTGTTACTGTGTGCTGAGTTCAGATATCTTGCTGGTAGTATGATATAACGCGCATTAAAATTGCTCAGCAGGTCGAATATGTTGTATTTAATGTTACACGGTGTGATATGATATGCAAGCTGTTCTTTCATCCATATAATGGAATAGCTTTAGTCACATTTATGATATATTTGTGCTTTCTTATAGATCAAAATTGTCAATCTTTTACACCTGAGAAAACCAGGTTCATATATTAAAATGCAGCTTTTCCACGTTGAGTTGAATATATGATATTTTATAATATTGAACTGCGACTGTAAATTCTCCTATGACATCTATATGCTTTCATTCATATGGATGATATATATTTAGTCATATTCAAAACATATTTTGTACTCTACCATAGTTCACGGATAGTCAGTGTAACTCAGACAATCAGATAACCAAGTATATCCGTTAGAATGCTTTGCTAGGTTGAATATAATATTTTCCATATGATTGCGCTGTAACTGAAAATTGCAATGTGCAGGCTGTGTTTTCATTCATATGAATGATATAGTTTTAGTCATATTCAACACACATTTGTACTCTCACATAGTTGACGGATAGTCTGTGTAACTCAGTCAATCAGATAACCAAGTGTATCTGTTAGAATGCCTTACTGGGTTGAGTGTGATTTTTTTTATAGTTATCTCGCTGTAACTGTAAATGTGTACAAGCTGTGTTTTCATTCATATGAACGATATAGTTTTAGTCATATTCATGAAATATTTGTACTCTCACATACATTGTAGCATACGGATAGTCTGTATAACTCACACAATCAGATAACCAAGTGTATCTGTTAGAATGCCTTAACTTACTGGGTTGAATGTGATTTTTTTATATTATTGCGCTGTAACTGTAAATTGCGTGTACAAGCTGTGTTTTCATTCATATGAATGATATAGTTTTAGTCATTTTCAACACATATTTTGTACTCTCCTATAGTTCACGGGTAGTCAGTGTAACTCAAACAATCAGATAACTAAGTTTATATGTTAGAATGCCTTGCTAGGTTGAATATGATATTTTCCATATGATTACACTGTAACTGAAAATTGCAATGTGTAGGCTGCGTTTTCATTCATATGAATATGATATAGTTTTAGTCATATTCAAGATACACTTGTACTCTCCCATAGTTCACGGATATTCAGTGTAACTCAAACAATCAGATAACCAAGTTTATCTGTTAGTATGCTTTGCTAGGTTGAATGTGATGTTTTTCATATATTATAGCGCTAGAAAATGCGTGTACAAGCTGCGTTTTCATTCATATGAATGATATAGTTTTAGTCATATCCAACACATATTTTGTACTCTCTTATAGTTCAGGGATAGTCAGTGTAACTCAGACAATCAGATAACCAAGTTTATCTGTTAGTATGCCTTGCTAGGTTGAATGTGATTTTTTAAATATATTATTGCGCTAGAACTGTAAATTGCCATGTACAAGCTGCGTTTTCATTAATATGAATTACATGCATGTAGTTTTAGTCATATTCATGATATATTTGTACTCTCCATACCTTGTAGTTTACGGATAGTCTGTATAACTCACACAATCAGATAACCATGTGTATCTGTTAGAATGCCTTAACTTACTGGGTTGAATGTGTTTTTTTATATTATTGCGCTGTAACTGTAAATGCACGCTGTGTTTTCATTCATATGAATGATGTAGTTTCAGTCATATTCAACACATATTTTGTACTCTCCCATAAATAACGGATAGTCAGTATAACTCGCACAAGTTTAGCGCTTAGGCAACCAAGTTTAGCGTTTAGAATGCCTTGCTAGGTTTTATGTAATATTTTCTATTTGATTGCACTGTAACTGTGAATCCTCGTGTACAAGCTGTGTTCTCATTCATGTGAATAATATAGTTTTAGTCATATTCATGAAATATTTGTAGCTCCAGCCAGACTAATTACGGGAAGGTAGGGCGTGTGGAAGGTTCGGTTTGTGGTAGATCTGTGCTGTCGGCGTCAGGGAAGGACCTCTGCCGAGATGGGGACCGGCAAACTACGGGCCAAACTGCCGGTACTACTGCTACTGTTGTCGCGTAAGTTTACGGACTTAACTTTCACACAAATACATTTCTCCTGGCGGTTATATTGCTGTTTAGATGCTTTAGATGTTATATTTAGTCTTCAATGTCTATTGTACAAGCATGTAATTTTTTTTTCTTCAAATATGATTTACGACAAAACTATCCCTTTTAAACTACCACTGCTACTGTTATCGCTTAAGTTTACGGATTAAATTTCACACGAACACATTTCTTTCAGTGCTGATCAATAACGATTAGAATTAAAAGGGATTCTTGGGATCCACACTTAGCTTACATGTATATGACAGTAGCTTTAATTCTTCCTGTGGTCTGTTCTAACACACAGCATTACACACAGGGAAATATACAAAACTACATTGATAACAATAGCGAAATAATGTAACACACAACTTAACATGTATTGCTATTTAGATGATTTAAATGGTATATTTAGTCTGTAATGTCATTTTACAAGCATGTGATTTTTTTCTTCAAATATGAGTACTAGTATCACACAAAAATAACGATAATTTTTACAAGTCAAGTTTGAAGTACAACCTTAAAAAATGGGGGCTAGCTGTGAGCTCAAATTATTTGGTGGAAAACGTTGACATGCTTTAGTTATCTTTTATCGGTATAGTTTCCATGAATAGAAAAATATCGTTGGTCTGGGTAGATGATAAAGATGACAAAAGAATCACTCTGAAAAAAATCTCTTTTCTGGCCTGTCTGACACCTATCCTGGGATCCGGCAAAATTATTTTATATTAACATGACGCTCATTGAAACACTGTACTGTGAACACTTTTAGATTTTTTAAAGAATTATTTAGTATCTTTTAGAAATTTTATTTCTTCAGGGTGTAATATATAACCGCCATTTTACGTTTTAGCTGGTACTACCTGTACATTTCATAACCATTGAAGTGACGTCATTTGCAGACAATCAACAGCCTACGTCACAACCAATAGAATCCCTCCAACTCAGCCATGCACATATTCACTAGAAATATCGTGAATATGTGCATGTCGTTTGGAAGACGATACCAATGTCGTAAAATGCCAAAATCAAACGAAAAAGACAAAAATGCAAAGAAATGAATTTAAAGACTGAGTATTTTATTCACTATACCATACTTTGTGTCATTTGTTCAATCCTCAAGACCACGTAAATTTCATAACGAAAGCAACTTTTCTTTTGCAAAACTTTTTTTTATTCGCACGCTCGCATCAGTTTTGGGGTTCCCAGAGGATGTCATCCTTATAATCAAATCAACATGGCATAACGGTAGAGTTTTCGACTCGGAACCAAGAGATCTCTTTTTTTTAAGAACAGGCGAAAATAATGCGCGCCGATCGCGATGTCATCCATAGAATTACGTCGGTGTGGCCTAAGTATGTCTCTTTTTAATTTTTTTCCCTATTTTTCCCACCCCAGTCCTGGCGGCCGATGGTGCCAGGAAAGTCTGGCTGAAGAACACCAACTGGATGAACTCCGCCAACTGGAAACGAGGCTCGCTGCCCTGCAGCAAACAGGTCGTGTCTTTTGAGGAGAAGGTAGGTGTCGTAAAATCACAACTACGTCATACATGTCGTAAAACCATGCTCATCTTTCTGTTTGTTTTAAAACATCTAACATGACCAGCACTTCGCACATACACCAAACCCGTAATGTACTGTGCAAAGCTATTTTTCTAAAAAAAAAAGGGGGCGTGGCCCTTAACTAGTGATGACGTCACCCTGACGTCACAAAAATGCATAAATTATCATTTTACAACAAGGTACTTGTAGTAACTTCAAAATATTAGGGTCTAACTGTAAACCAATTAAACTCTCATTTTCTTAACATTTCAAAAGGCCTCAAGATCTTTTTTTTACTGCTTTAAGTCGTATTCACGCATTTAAAGATGACCTCCCGTCCATAGTTTTAAAGGCATCCAATGCGATTTAATTTCAGAGCAGCAAAACTTGAAATATTCTGAATTAGTCAATCATTATGATATTGACACATACTGCTTCACATTAGCACATTTCAACCAGTATTTCATACTTTGGGTATTTAAATCTGCAGAAACAAGCCTCAAGATGAGTCCTTTATTTTATGGGTGGTACCCTAAAAATCACCCCAGGGCTTCCAGTAACCATTTTCCGCCAGAATTTTGGGTATTTTTGCTCCATGAGGGTCAATATACATTGGTATGTATATAAGTGACTAGAATATTGACTTTGAAAAATCGGGTTTCCAAGCCCTAAAAACTGCCTTTAAAACGTTCTAAAAAGATACCGTCTGCAACAGGCAAAAGCCTGATGTAACGTTGACCAAACATTGAAACGAAACCCACGAAAAATCGGGGCTACATTTTGCCAACGTCCTTACCAGGATGACAATAGTCCGATGTTGCAAACGCTTTTGATTATGAAATGTAATTTCCTTGATTCCCGTCGTATCTCTTGGAAGAGCAAATTGTATAATCATTTTGTTTTGAACGAGGACTTATTCACAAAGGATAAGCACAGATAGCTCTAATTATTCTATTACTGCCAAAACACAGGGGATTACCTCTTTCATATGATATATATGATCACATTTCTCTCCCTTGAGAATGATGTTGTTTTATGTCTGTTCCTTGATCTGATTTAGTCAGGAACCGAGGACATGGTACCTCAAGGCCATATAGGGGCCTGTATGGGGGGGGGGGGTCCCGACAACGCTCTACGCTAAATTTTGAGAGCTGGCTACGTATTACGCTACAGTAGCTATAACGCTTTACGATAAATTCCAAATGGCTACAACGCATTACGTAGAATTAAAATGCGAATTACGCTCTACGCAAAATGCGCCGTTGAATTAGAGCGGTACGTCTACGCTCTACGTAGAATTAAAACGGCCGATTACGCTCTACGGAAAAGGACATCGCCCCCCCCTCCCCATGTATACATGAGGCCATGTTGACTTGATTATATGGATGGCACCCTCTGGGAACCACAAAACTGATGCGAGCGTGCGAATGAAAAAAAGTTTGGTAAAAAATTGCCTTTATTATAAAATCTGCGTGGTCATGAAGGTTGTACAAATTATCTTAAATAGAGTATTTAGATATGGCGATTAATAGACTCAGTCGTCATTCCCCTAAAACCCTAAAACTGATGCGAACGTGCGAATAAAAAGAAAAAGCAAGGCAAAAAAGTGGCTTGATTATAAAATCTATGTGGCCATGAAGGGTGAACAAATGACAGAGTATGGTATGGCGAATAATAGACTCTTCATTTTCATTTCAACACATTTTCTTCTTTACACTATCGGAACTGATTTTGGCATTCTACGAACGACATTAGTGTCGTTTTCCAACATTTGTTTTACAATTTAAGGCATATATTTGTCCATTTTTCAGCACAATTTACAGTATGGTCGAAAACATTTTTTTTCTTGGAAACGGACGAAAAAATTCATGAGCGTGGGTGTCATACATATATTCAAAACAGCATGTCCTGATGTATATAATATGATATAAATATGGGGCAGATATACCCAAAGGGATACTTGTCATTTTCTAGGAAGTCACTGTTACGGTTTCGGAGAATGCCAGTAACAAATTATATTAGTCTGTAGCCAACTTTATAACGTAATTATAGCTCATATTCTATTACAAATCTGTTGTTCTTAGAATAATTAATTAATATGTAACTTTATTGCATGTTCATTCCCTGGGGGATAAATGCAAAGTACAATGTACTAGAAAGAGATTACAACAATAATAATAAAGACAGGCTAACATCAGGTCTAAGGTATAAAATGCGAAAAAAAACTATATAAAGTGGCATCGATCTAAGTTCTAATGGCTTCTTCTCTCTTTTTGGAACATTTGGAGATATACTTACATAATTCATTGAAGATATATTTGTACATGATATGATATGATATATTTAAGAATGTCTTCTTTTGTAATGGTGTCATATAACCTTCGTGACACCGCACTGTATGGTTCGATTACCATCAACCTAATATCAAATTCACATAAATTGTACGAGAACATATCAATGACAACTACGAAGCTATCCTGTCGATGGATATTTTACAAAATAGGGTATGGCCTGAAAAACGCCGAGCGTTCGGTGTAGATAGCCACCATTCAGATGTGACAAAAGTTAGTGCCTTAAAACTTGGAAATATTGCCCAAATGTTGGTCATAAGTATACCAACACACGTCTAATATGTATAGACTTAGTTTGTTTAATTTAATTAGATTATCCTCCAGCTCCACAGCATAAGCCTCCGTAGCAGGCTCATAGAACTGGGGGTTTGGTGGTCTTTGGCTGTTTTCTGATTAGCCCAATTCGGGGCAAAAAAAAACAGGGGTAATTCAACCAGGCCAGCTATGCTGTCTATATGCAATCAGAAAATAGCACAAAAAAGCTCCCAAAGATCTCGAAGCCCCCCCAAAACTCCCATTTTTTTCATGTTATGGAGGCTAAGCATGATACGTTGTTGTTTTATTGTGTGCTGATCAATAACGATAAATAATGATTAAAAATTAGCACATTACAAGCCCCCCAAAAGCTCAAGGCATGGTATACTATGTATGGAGGCTACACAGATGACGAATTATGTTGTTTGGTTGTAGAGACAATATAACATTGCAATAGCGAAGTACGAAGATTCATGTATGTTTAGGTTACCCTACGCGAAAGCTACTGTAACAAAACATTTTCTTTTGGAGGAAAAAACATTTTGACAACGTCCCCCTCCTCCCCCTTCCCAATACGATTCGCGTCTTTTCGCACTCGGCTTAAGTAACTCCCGTACACTGTATACCCGCAAATTCTTCGTTCAACCAAGATTGACATCAAAGGATCGACGTTTTCCTAACGTTGCACCAGCTATTCTGTACTTTCGTGACAAGAAAATAATTTTGCCAAATATTGCATACCGGCGGAAGATTATAACTAATATGTAAAGATAATAATAATTGTAATCTTAAAAACCTACCTGTTGTCTTGTCTTATGGGTTCGGTCGGCTTGAAAGAGGTGAAGATTCCAACAAGACACAGTTGTGTGAGTTGTTGTAATGTTGTCGCAGAAAAGCCAATGGGGGTTTTTAAGGACACCGTTGCCTGGTGGTATGAGGGCTTCTATGGGGTTATTCAGTACTCTGCTTCACAACTTTCATGTGGTATGAGGGCTTCTAAGGGGTTATTCAGTACTCTGCTTTACAACTTTCATGCATTAAGTCGTCCTTTTTAGTATTCAGATGAAATCATTTTGTACCTCACAAGAGCGATTTATTAAAAAAAGGATGAATATTTTCCGTAGCTTAAAATATTTTCGTATACGATATTAAAGTTGCAAAAACAGAAATTTAGTCCAATCTGCATTCATGATCAGTTATGTTGTGTGCCTTTATCACAAACGTTCGAATCCCCTTACAGGGTCTCAACAGAACAGGAATTTCATCATTTGGCGCGTATCACTCAGATCGGTATTATTTATATAAGGCCACACCGACTTAACTTTATGCATGGCATCCTCCGACGACACCAAAACTAGTGCGCGCGGGCGAATAAAAAAATCGGGCTAAAAATAAAAATGCTACTAAACCACAGGAATACAAAAGCTGGTATTGTGAATTTGCGGCAGTATATAGCGACGTATACGACAAGCCGGCACATGTCTTTTTGCGAAATTTATTAATCGGCACTGTACGTACGTATGTGCCGCGTTCTTGAGTCGTGGAGCTTCGGTAGCCTGGGTGCCATCCTCCAGAGTTACCTAGAGACAGGCCTAGAGCCAGGCCAGAGCCTCGGAGGACGTGATCTTTTTTTATTTTTTGAGAACAGACGAAAATCAATGCGCGCGCGTCATCCATAAAATTAAGATGGTGTGGCCTAAACCACAAGTGACTAGAGAATGAGATTTAAAGTCCATATTAGCCACGCAGAGTTTTCTTTGTAACAAAAGAAACCGAATAACATGGGTGGGTGGCTTCACTTAACCCTCAACAGTACACCTTCCCGGACTGATTAATCTGTACACCTGGGGTCCGCGCGGACCCCAAGACAGTTTTTTGCTAATTTTTAGAAATTATCAACATGCCTCCAGCTCAATTGTTTTGCAAACTGATGTGGGAACCTCTGTGTCCACATTACATACAAAAATCATACATTTTGAACTTTTTCTATTTTTTGGTGAAGAAAAGAAGACAAGAAGAAATACCCGATTTTTAAACCCATTTCAGACTAAAGGGGCTTTTGAGGCCCAACTTTGATCTCAGATAGCGGCTAATCGGCTTGCGCTAGAAGTATCAAATTTGGAGACCTTTCCTAAAATGTCTCTGGAAAAAAGTTCATATTAGTTTAATACTAGTAAGTTGATGTTTTTTTGTGTTGCCATGGCAACGGGTTTCTAGCAGGCAGTTTGTTTTGAAAATAGAAGTAATTTTGGTTTAAACACAAAAATTTTCTGAGTTTTATATTAAATTACACTTCTTTTACAACATTGACAACATCTTACATAATTAAATATAAGTTAAATCATTTAATATGCATAGAATATGCTAATT